CTTTTTCTGCATCACATGCATTTTGGTATAAACAAATGATATCTTGGTCTGAAGCGACTTCAGTCATATGATTTTGACGAACATTGTTCTGTGAAATTCTAGTTATATCATTCTGATCTTTAATGGATGTTGAAATCTCTTGTATTAAACCTTGCTCCTTTTTCTGCTCGGGAGGAATACTAGATTTAATATTAAATATGTAAGTGTCCTCTTTTGGAGAACTTTCAGTAGGTGGCCTATGTTGAAGCTTTTTTTCTCTTATTTCGTTACAAATCTGTTCATTATGCTTTTCAATCAGAAAATTATCTATTTCCTTACCTTCTAATGATTTAGGCTTTACGCATATGGCTAATGCAGTCGAAGATAAATTGGAGACTCGAGATGAAGTTTCTTCTTGATGTTCATCAGAATTTGAAGCATTATTAGTTATATCAATATCATCACATAGTAAATTTATATCTTCAGGAACATCATTAGAATTTACAGGATATGAATCAGAGATTCCAGGTTCTACATCTTGCGAAACATTAGTAACGATTTGATTGCACACCATACTCTTGTCTTGTCCTTTGATTAGTGAAACGTCATATTCCAATTTAGCTATAAGATCCGTTTTTTCTTTATCGTTCTGCTCAAGTTTAGCGATAAGGTTAGTTTTTTCTTTATCTTTCTGTTCTAGATTCGTAAATCTGGCACCATGTTCTTCTAAAGTTTGTTTTAATTTTTTATTTTCAGTTTTAACTTTTACATTCTCAGCTTTAAGTTCGATGTTCTCAGTCTTGATTTCAGAATTCTCCCTTCTAAGTTCTGCAATTATGACAATAAGCTTTGAATTTAATTCTTGTAATGAAACAGTTTCGGATAAGTTTTTAGTCTTTTCTTCCTGTGTTCGCATATTTAATACTATCTTATATAATTTTATCACAAATGCTCAGAAAAAGATTTTTATTAACCACATCTTGGCTGTGTCTACACAAAGTGAAAAATGTTTTGTTATTCTAATGCTTTTTAATTTCAATTATTTTTATAAGATATCTTTTCAAGAGAACCAAACCAGAAGTCATGTGATGAAATTTCACAAAACAATGTTCGTCAAAAATGCCAAGAAAAATTTTAAAAATTCTCGATTATATGTGAGTTATACATCGGTATATACAAGCTCATCGACCTTCTGTTCATGCTTTACCAACACCATGACATCCAGCTTTTTTTCAATTCTGGGATTCCTCTGAGCCTTACTCGCCAAACTTTGGCGCTCTGCTCTATAATTTGATGGAAAAATATAATAGTATAAAACACTCTTTTTCATGACATTATTTATCAAATACTTACGTGCTCAAGCAGAGATTACCATCTGGAAAATCCTCTAGGGTTGCCCGAAGTAAAGGCATCACAACATCTGCAACATAAGTTCCCTTGCTCTAGTGTTCCACAGACTCAGACCGAAACCCGGACTCGAACCGGAATCGACTCGGCGGTTCGAGTTCAGGTTTACAATTTTTCAAAACTGACCGATT